ATGTCTTTTCTTGAAGAGAAATAATATTATAAATAAGAGATATATGAACTAAGAGTTTTGTTATAACAATATAATTGATTATAATCACTCTAATGGTAATCTGGATTGAGACTCCAAACCACAAGGATAAAAAAGGTCGATGAATTCCAAATAAAAGCTTAAGCATGGCCATTAATACTGTCTCTGAGATATTTTTTTCAATGACCTAATTTGTTTGTGCGGATCTCCTATAGTTTTTAAAGTTTTCCTAAATAATTTGAGTTTTGGAAAAGAAACATAATATTCAAATTATGGCATTGGTAAAGAAAAATCTCACAGATAATTAAAAACTTAGAGTTTTGCAATACAAATGAATTTATTCGAATACAACTGGCTGAGTTGATTAAAGTTGATTAATTTCACACAAATTTTCAAATCATCACAGTATAGATGTCCTATTAACATCGAAATATTAACATATCTTATTACTAAATACGAAAAATCCTTTATTAACTATTAACAACCAATCATACTACGCATAATAACATGAGTAGTAGTATTAAGATCGATGTTAATAGCGAGTAGTAGTATGTTTATTATCTATTAAGATGCCGAAGCTAATACGCGCCATTTGCAATTTTGCACAGCAAAATACAAGTGTGAGTTGTGTGTTAGTAGAATGTCGATTGTAAACAAGTGTGAATGCAAGGGTGAGCGAGACAGCATGAAAAAAAAAGATTTGCCAAGCACGATTTGAGTGACAGAGATGACAAATTTTTACGTTCTGTTCACAACACATGATATATACGACTTAGCTGTGTTCGAGAATTGAGAAAAAAAATGTTTTTTTTTTCACTTTTTGTGCTTTATACCGAGTCTCCGAGAGTTTCATATAAAGTTGCCATGTGATGATGAAAAATTGCGAAAAATGAAAAAAATAATTAAATTTTTTTTCTTCGATTTACAAATACTATCACATTTTCTGTATCATCTGGTGAAATCAGAATGAAAAAACTCGCATTCCTTATCATCTAAATCACGATCTGGATTTTTTTCACTTTTTGAGTGCTCTATACCGAGTCTCCGAGAGTTTCATATAAACTTCCTATGTAACACCTATTGAATAGTGACAAAATGCCAATCGTGATTTAGATGATAAGGAATGCGAGTTTTTTCATTCTGATTTCACCAGATGATACATATAGCATCCTAATAAAATATTATCATAATACAAAATGTATTAACATATCGGATTTGGCACATCTATACATCACAGTCTGCAATTGTGGAACGTTAGTCGTTCGAATGCAAAGTTGACATATAGACAGCTAAAACGTCCTAAATTAGCCAGCTAGTCAGCCATTATGTAAAATAAACACGATAGAATACCATTTTATTATTTTTCATGATATTGGCCGAAGTGCTTGATGAGATAGCAACCATTATTTTGAAGAATACCCATACGACGCTTGGAATATTTTATTCGACATGAAGAAAACAAATTAACTCAAAAGACCAAACCAGCAATTTCACCGTATGATTGTGTGCGATAGCGTTTCGCCTTGGGTACTATTCGAATCACCAAAACGTGAGAAGACCGAATTCAATCGCAAACGAATCAAACAAAAAATTTAAGCCGGTGATTACACGTATATCATCCCACTTGATCCCGGCGTGAACACATACTATACTGGATTTCATCGGAAAATTGAAAATTGTGTCGAAGTGAGATGATTAAATAATTTTTTTAAAATTAAAATTTCATAATTTTCTATATTCAATGTCGTGATTGTTTTGATAGATCTATCTATCAATACCATCACCGCGCGGAAACGGCTGGATATACTATGTCGATCATCGATTGAAAATGATGATGGATGGATTGGCGGCATATGCTCGGCGACGATATGCACGGCTATCCTTGGACAAGTACATCGACTCACAGCACGAAACCGATTGGTTAGCAAAATCATTGACAAAGAATAGGCCATCGCTGCAGCATGTTTACCATCGGAGACGCGGACTTGCCAGCCAATTTGCCAATCGGTAAGAAGAAGACCAAACGCTGCCCAACGTCTTGAAAACAGCGTCAAAAAACTACATCATTCAGATGTAGTCAGAGTGAAAGAAGACTACACGTCTCAACACTGTGCTAGTTGCATGGTGAATTTCCCGAAAGAAACGAGAAAATTCCGATTCAAAGCGTGCAAAAATTGTCCACGCAATGCTCCAATACCACCGAAGATTGCCAAATACGTGTCGTTGCCGCCGCTAATTGTGTCAAAAAGGGCTCACGACGCAAAACGTTGGACCGTTGTGTGAAAAAGTTGATCGACAGTTGATTTTGAATAATACATATTAACTCAAATTCATTGTTTACAGCACTGTGTTTCATTTTCGATTTAACATTGATAAATTCGTTTGTGAGACCACCACAACCACAAAGACCGCCGTATCGTAAAAAACCATCGGTACGCAGACAACCAAGAGAAAATGCAAATGTTGTTCCGGTCCAGGTAAACAATCAATAATCAACCAGCATCAATCAATTAAACATGTTAACTAAACTAGTTATTACCAAAGCTTGTATTTTGTGGCTTTGATTTGTACATAATATCTGAGATTTTATGTATAAAGTACCCTCTCGTAAGTATAATTTTACCAACTAATTGATTACAATTATTATTGGTGTTGATTCATTGTTATAAATAAATTTAATTCGAGTGTAGCGCACAGTTAATTATAGAAATTGGGTAAATCTCTTACGGTCGATTTTAAATCTCTATTTGAATGGTGTAGAATAAAAACTACTTCTCGAAGTGAACCTAAAAAAATTTCATCCTAGTGTATTTTACACTGAAAAAACCAAGTGATATTTTTTTTTGGTTCACTTTTATTGAACAAAATTTTAGTTAGTAGTTGTTGTTGGTTTTTCTTGTACAACACATTTAGACTTTGTTTGTCAATTGGAACTGCTTAATTGGGTATTTTTATTTTTCATAATTGTATTCAATTTGATTAATTATTTATTAATAAAATGTTTATTTTGTTTTACTAATGTCCTGATGATGGGCTTGGGGCAGTTTAACTGGGCCCCCCCTATCTAGCCTGGCAAATTTTTGCGATTGCCTTGAAACCTTTTTAGGGATTTAGTGACTAATTTGTGATAATGTGTGACACCATTATTTCGGCCCATGGAAATAGACCTTCGGCCACTTTTGGCCATTTTTCTATTTAGACCAATTGGCCAAAAAGTCTCTTAGCGAAATTTTGAATAAAAGCAAAAAATAAAAATATAATGATGCAGAATTTTGGTGATTAATTTGTGACTAAGAAATATGACTTTAGATTTTCGATACGACATCTGGTGGACATATTACGAACAAAAAATTGAAAAATGCTCAAAAATAATTTTAATCGAAAATTTGAAAAGGCTTTTTGTAAAACTGGGCAAAATTATAAAAATTCTTCGACATAATTTTAGTGACTAATTTGCATAGGTTCTGACATAGTTCGCATAAGTCGCATTGACCCCCCTAGCGCCCGAGGACCCTCTCTAGAATTTTGAGAAAATATTCGTTTTTCCTAGGGTTTTTCACGAGGAATAAAATTATTCCATTTTGCTAGGGTATTTTGCTGCCAGCTCTCGAAGTACCTCCCTCCCCCGGGAGAAGACATAGCATCAGAAAATTTTTTGCTACAGATTTACAAATTTTCAGAAATATTCAATTTTGCTAGGGTTTTCGGCCGTGACCCCCCCTAAGTTTTGTAGTGTCAGAACCTATGCTAATTTGTGACTCCCAAAAATGTCAACATTTGAATTTGTGACACAATGTGTGTGACAGAAATCTCAATCTTTCGATTTTTACAATAAAATGACAATGAAATTTTGCAAAGCGAATACGTAGATCCAAATAAATGGTGTCATCTTTTAGTGACCAATTTGTGACTCCCAAAAGTATCAACTTTTGAATTTGTGACACAACGTGTGTAACAAAAATCTCAATTTTTCGATTTTCACACTAAAAGTCGAATAGTTCCTTCGTTTGGATTTTGGAGATATACGTTTTAAATCTTGACTCTTGTCGATTTTAAAGTAAGAGACTTTTTGGCCAATTGGCCTAAATAGAAAAATGGCCAAAAGTGGCCGAAGGTCTATTCCATGGGCCGAAATAATGGTGTCACAAATTAGCACAAATTAGTCACTAAATCCCCAAAAAGGTTTCAAGGCAATCGCAAAAATTTGCCAGGCTGGATAGGGGGCCGTTTAACTGACAAGACAATTGCTCTATGTTGAATCATTTTCAAAATGAGAACATATAAAATAAAACAATCGTCACATTCATCAATTGGGAAAAATGTCAAAATGTGTGATCAATAAACTACTAATAAAAATATTCATTAAACTACCGAATATTGCGTTAATAAAGTTAATAAAGAAGTACATGTATTAATTGGAGTTATAGCGCCATCTAACATCTCAGTTTCCAAATTCCGTAAAATTCAATTAACATTCCGAAAAATTTCAGTGGAGTTTAGATAAATCTATGTAAGGAATTAGGAAATTCAATGAAATTTACACATCGATTAAATTCACGCATTAAGAAATGTCAAAGTTAGAGTAGTTTTAGGCGAGATAACTGACTGTTTTTATTCAATTACTAGCATTCGTAAAGAAATTTTATTCATTTCTTGACATTGTTTTCTTATGTTTGTCAACCGAAAATCAAAAAAAATCGATCAAAATGGAATTCATTGTTTTTTTTTTCGCTTTAGTTGCTGAACTTCCGTTTTAATTTCCAAAAAAATTTCAAAGCAAGTTTATTCATCATTTATTCAAGTACTATTTTGATCAATTTGAAATCATTGAATGTTTCCACGGGATAAACAAAATGCAGTGTATTCACTGTGCTTGTGGCTTACTTCACATCGTTTATCATGCAAAAGTGTATGACATGAACTGTCAGTATTTTTGCATATTAAAAGAAAATTATGGAATTACAATCATTGAGTAAGTTTTGTCTGAATAATAGAAACAATAAGCAGATTTTCTTCTTGATCAAAATATTGATTGCATGTATTTTATTGGACGTACAATTATATTAAACGATTTATCATTCTTTTCTTTTGTGGTGGCGAAAAGTGAATGAAAAAGAAATCGGTACAAAATGTATATTAATCAATGTGTTTGCTCTTTTACATCCTTATTTTTCGGTTAATATTTTTCAATCATTTTTTTGTTGAGTTAAAATATTCATCTTTGAGCGATTTTTTTCCTTTCATTTCGTAAATTATTGTAGAAAAACTGTGATAATTTGATTGAATTAAAAACAATGTAGTCTGATGGAGTCAATACAAAACAATAATTTATGCATTCTTTTATAGGGCTATTGCACAGTTTCTACTGGATCTTATTCAACCCGTGTACCAAAAAATAAAGGCAAATAAAAAAAAAATTAACGACGCATTTAGCATTTCATATATTTGGAGAAAACAAACGACTGAATAAAATCAAAATCAATTCTTGAACATGATCATTGTTTATATTTTATACAATTATAAATTTGAATAGAAAATTGAAAATATTCATCATTGAAACGGGAAAGTATGGAAATGCATAAATACATACACGCTTCATTTCGCCGCTGCTTTTGTTTTTGCATGTTGTGTGTGAGTGTGTCGTGTATGAGTGTCTGAGATCGCTTTGCTTTGGTTGTTTTTGCTTTTTCAGACATACATTTTTTCAGCATGCTTAGTATCATAATGAATCAAAAGTCAAAATCTAGATTTGAATCGTTGCGGCGAAAGAGTAGCTCTTATTTTTCTCCAAATAATACTGCAACATGAAGTTTTTTTCACACGGTTTATTTGTTGTAACACAACAAATAAACTATTCATAAAAAACTTTATGTTGCATTGCAGTATTATTTGGAGCACCGGGTACGACTAAGGCTAAGATATGTCCCCTTAGCTACAAACCGCCACCTGGCGGTCAGATGTGTCATCTATCCATAACATTGCTTTGACAGCTAAGCGTGCTAAAAAATAATCAGTGTAAATAAAAACTTGTTGATTATAATTTAAATTGTATAAAGCCAAATGTTTTTTTTTTTTGTGTTGCTATTGTGGAGCAAAAATTAAAACTAATTTTTTTAATTTAAAAAGGCATGAAAAATCACATTTAAAAAGTGTTCAGAGAGTGAAGTGTGCATCTGAAAAGTGTCAACAAACATTTGCGGCAAAGAGCTCTTACTTCACGCATTGGTCCTTAAAACATGAAAATGAAGTTATTCCTGATGTTTTAAATTATGTACAGTACATTGCCAAATGTCGACACACGACCAAATGTCGCCGAGAGGCGAATTGAAATTAAAAATTGAAAATTCATTTTAATTGCATTTTTAAAAGTAAATTATGAAAGATCAATATCAAATCTCTTTATTATAATCCAAATTTTATTCAAAAATCTATGATTGCTTTCACAAATTACGTTAAAAAAAATTTTATCACTTTTTCACGTCAAAAGTTAAACTATGTCATTTTGAGACAAGCCGGTAAAATGCATTTTTTATATGAAAAAATAACTAATTTGGAAAAAAAAGTTGTCTGCGAATTGTAGATAGTTTAATTTAGTTATTGAACAGAAATATTGAAAATATAAAGAAAAAAAATTATATTTATTTTTCATTTTTCACTGTAATACGTATTATTCCGGAATAAATCGTCCAATTGCCGACACATAAAGCACCCAAGTTTCAAGTGAAATACTTTGAATTTGACACATGTGAAATTCAAACCAAAAATATCATAGATCAGTGAAATAACGTAATATTTTTAAAATATTTTTGCTATTTCATTATGAAAAAATAAATAAAATTAAATATGCAACAAAAATATATCAATCCAATAATTTCAACTTCGATATTTTGTATTGTTTTCCTCAATGTAAAGAATGCGTTCCTGAGCTGTCAAAACTTAGCTGTCAAAACTTAGTTGTTCAAGTTTCGCAGCGGAAATTCATGAAATATATCGAGATTTGGGAGCCGAGAATTGGACGACGAATATCCGACATTTGGAATTTTCGATGTTACGACGGAAAAATGGAAAATAATAATATATGTTTGGAAATTTCTTTCTTTTGACAAGTGTGAAATGAAGCACAATTAAATTCTGCATAGAATGAAAGCAAAACTGTTAAATATCAAATTGAAGTTGAAAATTCAAACAAATAGTCCGACATTTGGGCGAGTGTCCATATACGGAGAAAAAAAAAACAGAAGAATATTCAAGGCTCCCGTCAGTGAATCTATCGTCGAAAAACGAATCCGTGGTATGAACTGTTTACAACATTTCGATTAGATGGAGCAACAACGGCAAATGAACCATGGCTGGAGCAGGCTACAGCGCGTGAAGTAAGAGCACTTTGCCGCAAATGTTTGTTGACATTTTTCAGAAGCACACTTCACTCTCTGAACACTTTTTAAATGTTATTTTTCATGCCTTCTTAAATTAAAAAAATTAGTTTTACAACAATAATAACACAAAAAAAACATTTGGTTTTATACAATTTAAAATATAATCAACAAGTTTTTATTTACACTGATTCTTTTTTAGCCCGCTTAGCTGTCAAATGTTATGGATAGATGACACGTATATGAATCGTTGCGGCGAAAGAGTAGCTCTTATTTTTCTCCAAATAATACTGCAACATAAAGTTTTTTATGAATAGTTTATTTGTTGTATTACAACAAATAAACCATGTGAAAAAAACTTCATGTTGCAGTATTATTTGGAGAAAAATAAGAGCTACTGTTTCGCCGCAACGATTCATATACGTGTCATCTA